GGCAGGCAGAGGGAGAGGAAGAAGCAGACTCCCCACTGAGCAGGGGGAGCCCGAGGTGGGGCTCGATCCCAGGACCCTGGGAGCATGACCTGAGCTGAAGGCAGTCGCTTAACCGACTGAGCCACCCAGGCGCCCAACCACTTAAGAATTTTAAAATTACTGGGCTTGGAAATTTTGAGAGAGGGTGGATAATAATTTTTTACCTGAAAGGGTTATTGAGGGGAGTGGATGAAATCATGCTTGTTAAACACTTGGCATATTACCTGGCACACAGTAAAGGCTCCATAAATGTTAGCTTGGATTATTATCATTTTATTCATATGTGATCAAAGGATGTATTAGTGAGATAGTTTTGATAAGGACTGTGGAATAGAATTCTTTCTTGTGAAGTTAATGATCCAAACGTAGTCAAATTTATACTTTTAACTTTAGCACAGAAAGACAACTGGGTTAGCGACTGGAATATAATGCTGTTTCTACCAGGCAGAGTCACACCTTTTAAAAATTATAAAGGAATCCTGGGGAGCCTGGGTGGCTCAGTTGGTTGAGCCTCTGACTCTTGATTTTGGCTCCAGGCATGATCTCAGGGTTGTGGGATGGAGCCCTGCATCGGGCTCTGCGCTCAGTGTGGAGTCTTCTTGTCCCTTTCCCTCTAAATAAAATCTTTAAAAATAATAAAAAATATAAAGGAAACATATAGATATTTGCCTGCTTGATCTTGAAATTTTTTTTTCTCTATATAAAACTATTTAAGAGATAGGAATTCCTACTGGTTTGTAATCTACACCTTAAAAGACAAGTCTGTAAGACAAAAAGCCAGTAAACTTATTTTGCTACAACTTTTTTATCATCAAAATGCAGAACAGAGCAAACTCAGCAAAGGATCACTTGCTCATATTTTATTAAAAAAAGTTAAAATTAGTACTATTCAAATTTTCACAGATTTTCAGAGCTCAGAATACTGAAATGATATTTAAAAGACTATTTTAACTGGTTTTACTCATACTGAATTTAAAAATTAAACTTACTTTATTCTGAATCTATAAATAAGTCAAGATATAATTTGAAGATTTTTAAAAAATAAAGGTAGCTGATTCATTTATTCTCCAGGACTGTTCTTGACAGGCTAATTTTTCACCATCACCAAACCACACAATTTTCTTTCATTTCACCACACACACACACACACACAAATTCCCTGAAGTTCCCTCTGGCCAGTTAATTTAGCTAAGTTTATCAACCCCTATAATCCTATGTGAGTTTGCTCAAAATTTCCTCTTACCCTTTGGTATTACTCTTTTAGATTACACAAATAATATATTAATGTGTGCTCACTGGCAGGGAAATGTAGTTTTTTACTGAAGAGGGTAAAAAAGGTAGTGAGGGAGACCGTGAATAATGAAATTAATCAAAATTATGGGTACCTACTGTTAGGTATTATTTTAGAATTTTTCACATGTTATCTAATCCTAACTAGGAAGCACAGAATTGAAATTTGGATTTAGGTGTGATTATCAAATTGTAATCAAAGTGTGAGGTGATAAAGGCTCACCTATGTTATTATGGAGGCAATGAAAATAGTGAAGTAATATATATGAACAAATTTGAAAGAAACATTCACAAATCTTGACAATCTATCATAATTTAGGAGATCTAAAAGAAGAATGAACCAGAAATAATTCTAAGGTTTGAGAAGCTGTGAGAATGAAGGGTAAATTTTATTGGTTATACAAGAAGAAATCTCTAATAGGTAACTCTAGATATGATTGAGTGACTCAGGTAATAGCTCAGGACTAGAGCTATTTGTTATTTTTATCTCAGGCACACAGAATTAGATTACTCATAAACCTTAGTAATGACACACAGTCACGCATGGCCTGCTTTTATTAGGAAAGTATTGTTAATAATGTAATAATCATCCACCGGCTCACTGAACAACAAAAGTTAGGATTTTGTTAATAATTACATGGAATCATGTCCCATCCACCTCCATCATATTGTCTTCTTCCAGAGAGAAAACTTTAGCCCCAAATGGCTTCACTGGAAAGTTCTTGCAAACATTTAAAGAAAAAATGATATCAGTTGTATATGAGGGAAGTCTTACAGAAAATTAAAGAAGAAATACTTCCCAACTCATTCTATGAGAGCAGTATTACTCTGTTAACAAAAGCAGATGTTACAAAAAAATAAAACTACAGACCAATATCTCCCATAAACATGGATGCAAAACTTACCAAAGTTTTATCAAATTGAATTTATCAGTATGTTAAAAGGATACCTCTCCCTCTCCCACTCCCCCTGCTTGTGTTCCTCCTCTTGCTATCTCTCTCTGTCAAATAAGTAAATAAAATCTTTAAAAAAAAAAGAGACTCAAGATGTCATTACAGATTCAATGCAGTCCCAATCAAAATCTCAGCAGGCATTTTTACAGAAATTGATGACCTGATTCTAAAATTTATATGTGAATTCAAAGGACTCAGAATAGTCAAAACAAGTTTAAAAAAGAACAAAGTCAGAGTTACACTAACTTTTTCAAGGCTCATAAAGTTCACTAATTGGGCACCTGGGTAGCTGACTTGGTTAAGCATCCCACTCTTGATTTTGGCTCAGGTCATGATCTCAGGGTCCTTGGATCAAGCCCCGCATCGGGCTCCCTGCTCAGCGGGAAGCCTGCTTCTCCCTCTCCCTCTCCCCCTGCTTGTGTTCCCTCTCTCGCTGTTTCTCTTTTTGTCAAATAAATAAATAAAATCTTAAAAAAAAGAAAGAAGTTAAACATACATCTACCATAAGGCCTAGCCATTATACTTTACTTACTTGAGAAATAAAAAAGCATATGTTCACACAAAGACTTGTACATGAATATTCATAGTAACTTTATGTGTAATAGTAACTGTAAACAACCCAAATATCCATCAACAGATGAATGGTTAACAAATTGTAGTATATTCATACAATGGAATAATATTCAGTACTAAAAAGGAATGAACTATTGATACATGTAACAACGTGGATGAATCTCAAAAATAATTATGCTGGGTAAAGAAGCCTGACAAAAGAGTACATACAATTTGATTCCATTTATAGAAAATTTAATCTGCAGTGACCAAAAGTGTACCTGCCTGGGGATAGGGGTGGGAAAAGCAAGAAATGGAGGGAGTTAAGGGGTCTGAGAAAACTTTTGTGGGTAATGCATATATTCTCTTGATTGTGGTGATGGTGTCAACAGGGACATACATATGTCAGCCTATTTTTAAAGATTTTATTCATTTGAGACAGACAGATACAGAGAGTGAGAGCATGAGCAGGGCAGAGGCAGAGGGCGAGGGAGAAGCAGGCTCCCCGCCAAACCAGGAGCCAGACATGGGGCTCGATCCCAGGACCCGGGGATCATGACCCAAGCTGAAGGCAGACGCTTAACCATCTGAGCCACCCAGGGCCCCAAATTGTGCACTTTTTAAAAGTGTAGTTTATTGTATGTCAATTAGTAAAGCTGCTAAAATTTTTTAAGCCAATGGATAAAATTCTGAAAATTACTCAATTCAGAAGTAGGTAGGGAAAGAGTAATAGAGGAAGAAAAAAAGAGGCAAACAAGAATAGTAAAATGGTAGACTTAAGTCCATTCATATAAATAATTACATTAAATGTTAATGGACTAAATGCTGCAATTAAAAGATATCAGAATTGATTTTTTAAAAAAGCAAGGTCCAGTTATATGGACCAATATAAAGTAAATGGCTAGAAAATTATATACATCATGCAGACTAACCTTAAGAAAGTTGGTGTGGCTGGGCGCCTGGGTGGCTCAGTTGGTTAAGTGACTGCCTTCGGCTCAGGTCATGATCCTGGAGTCCCGGGATCGAGTCCCACATCGGGCTCCCTGCTCAGCAGGGGGTCTGCTTCTCCCTCTGACCCACTTCCCTCTCATGCTCTGTCTCTCATTCTCTCTCTCAAATAAATAAATAAAATCTTTAAAAATAAAAAAAATTAAAAAAAAAGTTGGTGTGGCTATTTTAATATCCGATAAGTTCAAGACAATGAGATCAAAAGGAAATTTCATACTGATGAAGGAGTCAGTTCAAAAAGAAGATATCATAATGCACATGTGCTTAAAAGAGCTTGAAATTACATGAAAAAAATAACAGAATTAAAGGAAAAAACAGCCAATTCCACATAGTTGAAGACTGTTAGAAGAGCTAGGCCACACACACACACAAAAATTAGTAAAGACACAGAAGATCTAAATAACACCATCAACTACCTTGAGCTAGTTGATACTTACAGAATAATATACCCAGTAACTGCAGAATAAAAATTCTTTTTTTTAAAAAAAGATTTTATTTATTTATTTGACAGAGAGACAAAGCCAGAGAGGGAATATAGGCAGGGGGAGTGGGAGAGGGAGGAGTAGGCTTCCTGCCGAGCAGGGAGCCTGCTGCGGGGCTCGATCCCAGGACCCTGGAGATCATGACTGAGCTGAAGGCAGACGCTTAACTACTGAGCCACCCAGGCGCCCCAGAATAAAAATTCTTTGCAAGGGCTCTTGATACATTGACCACGCTATTCTGGACCATAAATTTATAAGGATTTTTTTTTTTAAGATTTATTTATTTATTTGAGAGAGAGTGAGTGTGCACATGAGCAAGGGGAAGGGCAGAGAGAGAGAAACTCAAGCAGACTCTATGCTGAGCATGGAGCCTGTTGCAAGACTTGATCTCACGATCCTGAGATCATGACCTGAGCTGAAATCAAGAGTTGGACACTCAACCAACTGAGCCACCCAGATGCCCCTATAAGGATCTCTTAATACCATGTGCCTTGTCCCTTCTATACCCTGAATCTTGGGAAAAGGAGCTAAAGGTTATCCCAGTTTATTACTTGCCTGGATTGTGTCAATATTTTTTGAGGAGTAATTAACATGCTGTTTCTGTTTACAAAAATACATAGCATATTAAGAATTAAGTCATTAAAAATTGTTACTCAATACTAATCTGTTTTTTCAGGTGCAAAAATATACAAAACTCCAAAATCACCCTGGTAACACATACAGCAGACATGAATGATATTTCCCAAAAGGCTGAGGTAAGTCTCCAACGTTAAAAAAAAAAAAAATGGGGGAAACGTAGGATTGACTATAGAGCTGCAGAAATGGTAGAGCTGCTTGGTGGAAAGGTCATAGTTCATAATGACCTAGTGTCAGGATAGAAAATGTAAAAGCTAGAATTCACAGGCTGTTCTTGGGCCCAGTATTTTCATTTGGATTCTAATCTTGGCAGCATAATTATTAAATTTGTGAATGATGGTGAAGTGGATGTGATGGCTAGCACCTTGAATAGAATTGTAATACCTTGATAAGTCTTAGAAGTTATTTTATTTTTAGTATTTAAAAAACCAGATTTGATGTATATCTTTAGGAGAAAGCAATAATTCACTCTCAGGTGAGGCTCCTTCTCAGCTATTTCTTCCAGCAGCTGCAGCAAAACTTCTCTTCGCCTTTTTCTGGCTCTTGGCTGTAGATACGGGGAGTTGTAGTAAGAAGAGTTCAGTTGCTGACATCCCAAAATTATGAAGTTTAAAAAACCTTAAATGGCCAATGACACCATAAGATGATAATGAAAGAGAGGCTGGGTATGCCACAGATTAATAAGTAATTTGCCATTATCACTAGGAGAAAAGGGTTTGATGTTCTGAGGCACCGACGTTTTATTTACTGAAATTTTTTAGCGATCAGCTTAATTTTCGAAATGATGAAAATAGTTGGCTTTCCTGGTTTTAGAGTGGAGGGAAATCTTTTCTCTAGTCTTTTACTAGATTCCTCCTTTCCTGGGAAGCTCTTTTGCTGTCTTAGAGGTCAGCCTACTTGGAATGATACAGCCTTTTTACACATTTTTAATGTTGGTGTACAGAAGTTCTGGATGGGTTGGGTAGCAGTCAACCTCTAAATCACCGCTTGTATGTGAAGACCCCGGCACATCTCGGCCATACATGGGAATAAAGGACTGCCCTTCAGTTTTATTCATATTTGATAGGGAAACAAGCAAGATCATGGATATATGAAGTAGGCTTTAAACTTGAAAGCCTAAACTTTTGCCTTGTTTTCACTTTCACCTAATTTATTTTAATTAGTCCTGGTATCTTTTAAGTAAGAAATGTCAAATCTGAATTTTTAATAATGGTGTAGGAAAATATATTGTTTTAAATTAGAATCCAGTATTCAATTTTTATATTTTACTAGCCTTCAGTTTCAGGGGAACACACCTACAAAATGGAATTTCTTTATATTAATAAGTTTTTATTCATATTTTCTAAATTTCATTTTTCATACTTAGACTTTAGAAAATAATCAGATTATGATTGTACAAATGTTTCAAACTTGTTTCTATTTTCTGTTTCAATAAGTATTTCTTATATTGCTTATTCTGATCTATCTTTACTTGATTTCTTCTATATTTTTTAACTTTCTTCTCTTTATTTTCTTCTAACGAAGATTCTGCTTTCTTCATCTAAACCTGTCCCAAAAACCTATGTGCCAAAACTTGGCAAGGGTGATGTAAAGGATAAGTTTGAAGCCATGCAGAGAGCCAGGGAAGAAAGAAATCAAAGGAGATCTAGAGATGAAAAACAAAGAAGAAAAGAACAATATATTAGAGAGAGAGAATGGAACAGGAGAAAGCAGGAGGTTATTTTATTTTATTTTATTCTTGTGCAAAATTCATATTTTCATCTTTTTAATTTACACATTATTATTCACATTAATCATATTTTATATTAAATATTATTAAATAATTAAAATAATTTTCTGTATTTATAAGTTAATTTCAAACTCTGTATATAATTTAGTCTAAATTTTGGACATGTTCATATTAATTTATTTAACCATTTAGATTAAAGAAATGCTTGCTTCTGATGATGAGGAAGAGGTATCTTCGAAAGTAGAAAAGGCTTATGTCCCAAAGCTAACAGGTAAGAAACTTGAGAGGGAAATCGTAAATGAAATTGCAAAAAGGAAAATGTAGCAAAATATCAAACATGTTTCATATGTTCTTAGGAACTGTTAAAGGTAGATTTGCTGAAATGGAGAAACAAAGACAAGAGGAACAAAGAAAGAGGACGGAGGAGGAACGAAGACGCAGAATTGAGCAGGATATGTTAGAGAAGAGGAAGATAGAACGTGAATTAGCAAAAAGGGCTGAGCAGGTATACACTAAATATTAAATTGGTATTTGCCTCAGAAACTGTACAGAGTAAAACTAATTAGTACATTGCCTAATTAAAATATTTTAATATAACATTAGCTTATTAAATAGCAGCTAACTTTAAAACAAGAACTTCTTTAAAAAAGATTTATTTATTTATTTATTTGAAAGAGAGAGAATGAGAGAGAGAGAGAGCACATGAGAGAGGGGAGGTCAGAGGGAGAAGCAGACTCCCTGCTGAGCAGGGAGCCCGACGTGGGGCTCGATCCCAGGACTCCAGGATCATGACCTGAGCCGAAGGCAGTCGCTTAACCAACTGAGCCACCCAGGCGCCCCTGAAAACAAGATCTTAAGTACAAATATTTATTATCAAATGCCAGAAGGATAAGGGCAGAATGTCCTTATTTTAAGGTTGAATGCTGAGATAACTTTTGTTATGTACCATCTTGTCATTCAGTCCATATTCCTTACATGGACCACATTTCTTGTTTTTCCTGACATGTTAGAGGTTTTTACAAAGACATAAGGGCAGTTTCACCTAAACTATCCACAATGTGCTTGTCTTTCAATAGTAATCAATAAGTAGTTATTGGTTATTATTACACATTAAGGCATAATTAGGATACCTTCCCACTCAAGAATTTGAAACAAATTACATTTAATAATGTTATTATCAGCTAGCTTATTAACTTTTTTGTTTTTTAAGATTTTATTTTATTTATTT